GAATATTTTTAAAAAATGCATATCTTAATTAAGCATATAAGTTTGGTGGATCCACGTTATTTACCCCCTTTCATTTTTTCCAAAATTTTCTGACGGAAATTATATTCTTTTTAATATATTTTTTTCTAAAACAATTCATAAACAATTTAGAAATTAAAAGATACTTATATTTTATTCACAAAAACCCTAAAAATATTTGAACTTATATTTTGGAGTAATATTAATTCCTAAACTTGTAGAGGTGTCTATTAATTCCCAAACTTGAAAAATTGAACACGTTAAATCCTGAACTTGTTAAATGGTTCGATATTTGTCCGTAGTGTTATTTGGTCAAAAAAACGAGTTGACCGATCCGACGTGGCGTGTGACGTGGCGCGCCACGTCGGATCGATCAACTCGTTTTTTTGACCAAATAAAGCTATGGAGGAATATGGAACCGTTTAACAAGTTCAGGATTTAACGTGTTCAAATTTGCAAGTTTGAGAATTAATAGGCACCTCTACAAGATTAGAAATTAATATTACTCCAAAATACAAGTTCAGGAATTTTTAGGGTTTTTTCCCTAGATTCAACTAAAAAGTTTAATATTTATTTGATAAAAAAATAAAGTTTAGTATTTATTGTTTTGTCAAAATTGTAAAGTTGAATATTTTTTTGAAATTTTTTCTAATAATAATAATAATGTTTTTTTCTCTTTTTGAATCGAGAAATAGTAGATCCTGAATAAAACATGATATTCGAACCCAATCTGATATAAAAAGCGAATATATATGATTTTTCTAAAATCGTAAACTTCTCCGTTCTCGTCTTTATTTTTTTTTTGTAAATGGTAAATTTGTATATATACGCTACTGAATTACATAAAAGATATTTGAGTTACATCAAGATGAAATCATCATCAGCCAATTGAAAATTACAAGCGATCAAAATAACAAAACAAAATACTAAAGAGGAAATTGTCCGGAGTAAGGACCGTCGAGTCAGTTGGTAAAGAGGATACTTTACGACTAATGCAACGGAAGATATCTCTTTAGATTTTCTCGCTGTACCAAAAGGAAACAAAAGGTGGACAATACCAAAACAACGGAACTTACTTAGCTCGACCCTTTGCCTTACGACCCCTCTTGACCACTGAGAAGTCTTGGGAGATCTTGGGTGAAACGGTTGCTCGTAAGCGCAGTAAACGTCGAGATTCTTGCACTAATTCATCCTCGGAATCAAATATGTAGGTTGTATTGATACCTCTAGTATATTTCCCATTCCCATTGTTTTGGAAACATGATACGGGAGAGTTAGGCGATGTGTCATGATTTATGGGTTGATTAATGGGTAGCGGAGTATTCTGAGTGTGAGTTAGGGATGGTGGTGGGGAAAGGGGAGGGTGTTGATTAGTGGAGAAGTTGACGGGAAGATGATCAGAAGGTTTATGAGATGAAGACGAAACCATCTGCGGGGATGCAGTTAGCGGGAGTTGGAGATGCGGTAATATAACATGTACTTGAGCTTTGACAGGTTCTGGAGTTGGAGTAGCTTTTTTTGTCTGAACGAAACCATCTGCGGGGATGGACTTATCGGACGGATTCTCTGATGAGAACGCAGGCGGTGGAGATGTCGGGGGGTTAGAGTCAGCAGTAATAGGGGCAACTGAATCCAGCTTAGGGGAAGGACAACTCGAAACCTTGTGCCGAATTGATGACATTGAAGGCATCGTGGAGGGAGCCACGACTAGAGAACATTTACTCTAACGACACCACCGCTATCATCCTCAACCTCCACCGCATCAAGCCGAGGAGCTCCAAGTTGTACCTCAATTTTGACCCTAGACTCCCCAATGTTCGGGGGATTGAGTCTCAACTTTTCTGTATGTTGTGGTTCTCCAACACCGCAGGCGATGTAGCTGATACCTCGAAGGAATACATCTCAGCAAAAATATTCTTGAGAGTGATCCATATTGGAGCCGAAGTAAGCAACGGTTGTCGAAGAGATGACGTGGGCGTCCATTCCGATGGAGTAAACATGACGACTCCCGCATGCCAGATTCCGACTTCCAAAACCCACTCACGAGTAGCAGGGTCCAACACATGGAAAAGGCAGGAGGTATCACTGATTCGCCTGACTAAAATACGAGCTTTCCTTTCCCATATGGGATTAAGAGCTTGAAATATCCTAGAAAGGAGCAAGGCCATAGAAATGTCCGATTAGATTACCTAACCAAGCTTGGTCTCAAGGAGAACATATCCGGGAACTTTGACCCTGAGGGTACCATCCTCCATATATGTGGGCGTAGTGACATGGGAAAGATTACGGGAAGTGGATTTGAGCCGTTGTGCCCAAGGAAAATTAGGTTTTTTCCAATCCGAGGAGGTGTGGGTGCCTAGGACAGAAGAAGGGTCTCGAGTGAAGGGTACATCTTTCGCCGAGTTAGGGATGGGTGGAGTACGACTTAAAGAATTGTGAGGGGAAACAAGAGGAGGAAAATCATGGGGGAGAAAAAGATTAGAGTTAGGGGGAGGTGGAGCCGACGGAGCAGAGGAAGCGCCCTCACCTAATTTCGTCGAACTCTGGAGAATTTGAGAATTAGGGTTTGATGAAATCAGAGAAAGTACAGGCGGAGCATCGAGAGAGGTTTGAGGAAGGAGAGAATGGGAAGTGGGTAGAGGAGGAGAGACAGAAGGGGTAGAAGACAAAGAACAGATTGCAGAGACGGAACCCAGTGGACGCAAGGGGATCGAGTCCCCAGTGGGGGGGCTCCCCGTTCTCGTCTTTATTGCTCATCAAATCTAAGTTCGTCCGCCCCGTGAGACATTAGTCTGTTTATTTAAGGGAAAAAATCCTAAAAATTCCTAAACTTATATTTTGGAATAATATTAATTCCTAAACTTGTAGAAGTGCCTATTAATTTCCAAACTTGCAAAATTGAACAAGTTAAATCATAAACTTGTTAAACGGTTCCATATTCGTCCATAGCGTTATGCGCGCCACGTCGGATCGGTCAACTCGTTTTTTTGACCAAATAATGCTATGGACGAATATGGAACCGTTTAACAAGTTCAGGATTTAACGTGTTCATTTTTGCAAGTTTGGGAATTAATAGGTACCTTTACAAGTTTAGGAATTAATATTACTCCAAAATACAAGTTCAAATTTTTTTAGGGTTTTTATGAATAAAATATGAGTATCTTTTAATTTAGATAAATTGTTTATGAATTGTTTAAAAAAATTATATTAAAAAAAATATTTCTAAATTAAATATATTTTTTAACAGTTATGAATATGTAATCAAACTGTGAAAACTAAAAATAAGATAATAAAATAATATTGTGGAAGAAATGCACATCGAGCACATCACTATAATTTATTTATTTAAATAGATTATTCTAATGGCTCTAAATTAAGTTAAACCAATTGAATTAACAAAACATTTAATCAACGGTTCGTTCTTATCCAAAAACCTGTTTATTTATTTATTTACTTTGTTTTTATTCATACAAAGCTTTTATTTAATTATTATTTACATTGTTTTATTTTGGCAAATTAGTGGTTCTCGTTTCCGGGTCAATGCTAAATCGTACTCAAATAATTTTCTTTGTTCTTTATATTCTTCTTAATGAGATTGAAAATCATATTAAATCTCATATAATTTATAGAATAAATGAATATTTATTCAAAAGAGCAGTTTATAATTTTATTTTCATCCACAAACCGAGAAAAAAGAAATAAAAATAGAAAAAAATATTCATTTGAATGTTGAGACTTTGTTTTTTGCAATGTTATTAGTTTCTACTCGGAAACTATTTTAAAAAAAATGCATGTCTTAATTAAGCATATAAGTTTGGTGGGTCTACGTTATTTAACCCTTTCATTTTTTCCGAAATTTTCTTACAGAAATTTAAATAATATATTAGTATAATTTGTCTGCTTCTCACATTAGTCCAAACATTAAATTACAAAAAGAAAATTTGAAATTTTAAAATAATAAAGATAATCAAAGACAAGAAAGAACAATAAAAAAACCCTAAAAATTTTTAAATTTATAATTTGGAATAATATTAATTCCTAAACTTGTAGAGGTGCCTATTAATTCCCAAACTTGTAAAATTGAACATGTTAAATCATGAACTTGTTAAACGGTCCCATATTCGTCCATAGCGTTATTTGGTCAAAAAAATGAGTTGACCGATCCGACGTAGCGTGTGACGTGGCGAGCCACGTCGGATCGGTCAACTCGTTTTTTTGACCAAATAACGCTACGGACGAATATGGAACCGTTTAACAAGTTCAGGATTTAACGTGTTCAATTTTACAAATTTGGGAATTAATAGACACCTCTACAAGTTTAGGAATTAATATTACTCCAAAATACAAGTTCAGGACTTTTTAGGGTTTTTTCCCATATATATAATATGTGGCTTATTCCATGTACATATAAAAGCTCTTGCATATCAATTTCCACCTCTATATAATATATTGTATCTGCCAGTCGATATATTATATTTGTTGACCCAAATTTTAAATATGGAAAATATTAGAGAAAGGAGACAAAAAAAAAAAAAAACCTATGCCCCCATATAGACAGATCGATAAGCTGACTTACATTATCTTTAATTAACGAAGTGTGGTGATCCAAATATCGTTCCGATTATCATACAATATTAAATCGAATATTAAATAATTTTGATTGTTTGAATTCGAAATAAAAACGGATGATTTTTAAAATTAAATATTTGAACCCAAAATAAAAAATAAAATATTATCCCATTGAAAAGTTATAAGAAATTATTGGCTCCTCCGTTCCATTCAAGCAGCACAAGAATGGCTAGTCATCACAGTTTAGAATGCTGTGTATAATGCACACGGTGAAAGGCTCTCGCACTCAAAGAATCATACAGAGTAATCACATGAATTCAATAGTTGTCAATTCGGATCCATTTGAACCCTTCGTGTATATAATTTATGTGAGACACAGTCGTTAAATGTAGGGTATGATAATATTTTACACGAAGGTGTAAGGTGGTTATTATTGTTTATTCCAGCGATTATAGGGCTGACAAATATAATCATTATTACAATCACAATACGACTGACGACAAAACTTTATTAATCAGTCTTTCGCTTAAGAAAGATAAAGTATTGCATATCCTTTTGACAGTCTTTGAAATCAATAGGGTGTTTGGTCAATTCCTTAGCAAATCGATCAAGGAGTTCATCAACCACGCCATCTCCGAAATGTTCTTCTATGACTCCGTGCATGGTAGTTCGAAATATGGAGGCGATGAAGTCGTTGCTTAGCGGCATATCCTCCATAGGATGCTTCACTTCTTCCATAATCTCAATGGTGAAACACCCATTTTTCTCCATCACCTCCTTCAATTCGTTAAACTGTGGGAAGTATATTGGCAAGTTGAAAGATTCCACCTTTTCCACGCTTGTTATCCCCTACGTCAACTCAAAAGAAAAGAAAAATAACATTATTAATTTGGAACTATGTATTGTTGTTTGCTTGTTCTATTTTTTTCACTTGAAATGCTAGCATCATTGATAATTAAAATATAAAAGACCAAAAAAAATGTTAGTATTTTCTTTTACTACTTTAATAAAATCAGATGGGGTTCTTTAACTAAACCTTCGCCTATACACTGTATATATATAAATTGGGAGAATATAAAGGTTCCAAATTTTCTTACCGATTTGGCCATATGAATCAAACAATCTTCGATCATATCAAAGACAACACCTTTCCATGTCCGAATCATCTTTACACCATCGGGTAGACACCAACCCAAAATGATCATCAATCCTCCAGAAACAAGTTCTTGAGTTCTGGCTTCAATGAAAGCTCCAATTTCCTTCTCAAATAGCTTCTTGTAAGCTTGAGTCACTTCATTGACTAGATTGGTACAATGTATGCTGTTTTTGTTCCAAGCTTGTGAGTTTTGGTTGCAAACATCTTCCGGAGTGGTTGAGAGCCAATGGAGTGTATTAGAAGTGTGTCCGATATGAAGACTGTTTCTCGAGAACAGTTGGTGGTAGAAGGAACCGGGAACACCACATGCAAAAACTTCACGGTCGAGGTAATACTGAGGTAGGGTTTTGAAGAGAGTATTGAAGTCATTGTCGGGTTTATCGTTGAAAAAAACATGGAACTCGGGGTGTTCGTTGTTATCTCCTTTGTTTTCTTCTTGTTGCCGTTTGAGTTTCAAGGTTTCTATAATGTTTTGGACAACATCTAATGTGTTGGATCCGACAGAACAACCGAAGTCCGCTATTTTGTAAATGTTTAGGTCAAAGTTTGGGGTTTTTGCTAAAATGGCTTCTCTTGTCTTTGTTCTTACACTCTCGATTGCGGCTTTCTGCCGGACAAGAAGTGGAGATATATGAATGTTAAATACGTAACTCAACATCTAATCATACTGTATAATTATAAGTATAATTAATCTAATTTTTCGTAAAAACTTACTTGGTAGGAAGAATTACGAATATAACTATGTGGACCGTCGCCACCGATCATGGGATAAGAATGAATTGACGTCGGCATCCTGTTCGCCATTTCTCTCCAACCGGACTCTGAAATTTCTTGTGAGATAACTTTTTGCTTTGAGTTTCAATTCAATTTATAGCCGAAAGTTGGCCATCAGATAACGAGGATACGGCCGGTTTCTAGTGGGTAAAGGAAAAGTCTTTAGAAATCATTTAATGGGCAAAAAAAGTAGTTGTTGACAAACAATGGTGGGCAACTTGGTTATATAAGGGAACATACACGCATATGGCAACATGTATATTCTGTGCATAATTTTCTTTCCATCTTCTTCTTCGTGTCTGTACTAGGGTTTATGTTCTCCTTCTCTCTAGCATATACTCTTGATGAATAATACAGATCTGATTATAGCTGTATACAATGCACCTCATGCGTGTACTTGTTCATGGTATACATCGGGATGTAAAATGAATTTTGGGTATTTCTGGATTTTCAAAAAAAAAAAAAAAAGGAGCAACGCAAATTAGGAGCAATGCCTAACACTTGATGTCATGTTAGGTATCGCGCGAACACCTAATTAGCCCCTGCTGTTAGGTATCCAATCAAAGGTGAATGTGAACATATTTTACAAAATATATTAATTCTATATGTTACTTAAATAATTTATATTAATAGAGAAGATCAATGAATATATACCTTGTTTGATTTAAATCAAATCAGAATTAACTAATTTCTAAACGTTATGTATTTGTCATTTCCTTATTTTCCTACTTTTGCCTATTTAAGTCTGTACATTGTCGGTCGATCTATGGTTAATCACCAGACATATACGACTTTTTGTCTTGTTCATTCAAATCATTACAAAAATTTATAGAAAACATACGAGCAGAATAAAACACAAATTAAATTAACACACCAAATACGTAACACTTTAAGTTAGGTATCCAACGTAAGATGAGTACGTACATAATTTACGAAATGTACAGATTTTTTCTTATTTCTCTTTGAAAACTGAGACTTTAAATAAATCAATACTTTATCTTGCTTACATACATAAACATATGTATGTATGGATACACATACATATACATATTTATATATATATATATATATATATATTTTGTTAAACGTAAATGTATTGCTATGAAAACGTCTTACAAAGGTTCAGGAGTTAAGTCGTCCTTCCCCAGCTTAATGATTATAGCAACCTCAAAATACATACCCAGGATTTGAGAGCAACCTAAAATAAATTCATATAGGATCAAAGTAACGAAACCAAAGTGAAAGTAGTGAATCGCCTAAATGCACGCATTTCCAGTCATGTTTGATTGTCGTTAGTGTCCTCCTTGCCTGCAAACGGATTTCCCGCAGCAGTACCTCCCCCGGTTTCGATGTGGACTCATGTAGCCTTGAGTTTCTCTCCCTCCATATGATGTAAACTGCACCTTGGAATAACAACAACATCATAAGCCTGATGCATGTGTCACCTGATTACGAGTCCAGCCAATGTAGTACATCGTTGAATGTCGAGTGTTGATGTCTCCCAATCGGCGAGTGTGCGAGAAGAGCTGTCCAAATTTCCGAAGAATATTGACACCGAAAAAATAGATGATCCAGATTTTCCACCTCCATGCTACAAAGTAAACAAGTTGTCTCTACATTCATACCCCAATTCGTCATCATGTCTCGCGTTGGCAGCCGATTTCTCGCAGCAAGCCACAAGATGAACGAGTGTTTCGGGACAGATTTCGCAAATCAAATAACCCTGTTCCAACTAACTCTTTCCACTCTCGGATTCATCATTCTCCAAGCATGGGCTGTAGAGAAGGATTTGTGTCCATGATTTAAATGAACTTCCGACCAATAAAAAGTGTCCTCAACATCAGATCTAGATGGAATGTCCAGGCCGATAAGTTGAAGTTGTAATTCCAGGTTGCATTCAGATCTCGCTGGAGGCAATAACCATCCCTCCTCATCACAAACATTCTTCACCATTGCATGTCTCGGCACCCCGAGTTGTTGCGGTCCCATGTCCCCGAAAGCATGAATCAATGGCCCTTGGGGGAGCCACGAATCTAACCAAAACCTGCAGTTCTTCCCATTCCCGACTTTGCATCTCATAAAGCTCCTTGCAGTCCCTCGAAGCTTGAGTAGTTTCCGCCATGACCAACTCCCCTTTCCCCTTGGTTTAAGATCCTAAAAAGAGTTGCTCCCGATCAAGTTTCTATGCACCCATGCTACCCACAAAGATCCACCGCGTGTGAAGAGTAACCATATTAGTTTAAGACAAAGAACTTGATTCCATTCATAGACCCTCATGATTCCAAGTCCACCAGCCTCTTTCGGAGTACACACCGAGTCCCATGATACTTTCGCCCCTTTGGCCGAGGATGGTGCCCCCATCCATAAGAATGCAGAGCATAAACGTTCAACTTCCTTAATACAGGATTTCAGAAGGATAAAAGCTGATGCCCAAAAATTTATAAGGCTATAGATGACCGATTTGATCAGTTGAAGTCTACCAGCAAAAGATAAGAACCTGGAAGTCCATGCGCAGATCTTCAAACGGATGGAGTCTGATAGCCGAGCACAATCTCTTGAGCTCAGCTTCGAACCAGTAAGCGGGAGACCCAGATATTTAATCGGTAGCTTGGAGAATGAGACACCAAGTTCCTCAGCAAGTCGTAGTCCCAGGGATTCACTGTCTCCATCTAGGAAAATTGTTGTCTTGGTTTTATTTAGTTGCAGTCCTGTAGTAAGATAGAAATTCTAAGTCTCAAAAATCACGTCCAAAGATCCCCGTGAATAGTCCGAGAACACCAACACATCATCTGCAAACATAAGGTGAGATATAACCGGATTTCTGCAGTTCAGTGGAAGAGTAATTCTGTGATGTCGAACCTCCATATCCAATAGACACGATAATGTTTCCATCACAAGCGCAAATATATACGGAGATATGGGGTCCCCCTGCCTGATTCCTCTCTGTCCCTTGAAGTAACCAACAAGTTCCCCATTGAGTGAGATAGAATATGTGGGTGTAGTTATGCATTCCCGAATCCACATGATGAACCGTTTAGGAAAATCTAGAGCTCGCAAAATGCGGATGACAGTTTCCTAATGAACCGTGTCAAAGGCTTTGCTCAGGTCAATTTTTGACCATAGCTTTCTTTGGCATCCCTCTTGTTGTAAATCCCGTTGTAAGCTCGGTAGCCAAAAGAACAATCTCAATAAGGGACCGGCCAGGAATGAAGGCAGATTGATTTGAGGATGTTAACTCCGGAAGAGCCTGTTTCAACCTCATGGCTAATAATCTGGAGACGATTTTGTAAATAGTATTACAACAAGAAACTGGCCTATAATCCTTCAGTTGCAAAGCATTCTTTATCTTCGGTATCAATGAGATAGCAGTTGCATTCCATTGTTTTAGCAAGGAACCTGAATGAAAAAACTCCATGACAGCAGCTGTAACATCTACTCCCACCGTGTCCCAGGAATTGGTAAAAAATTCTGAGGGATAACCGTCAGGCCCTGGAGCTTTACCTCGGGGTAGAGAGAACACAATGTCTTTCATTTCAGATTCCGTAGGAATTCTTTCCAGGGCTATCCTCAAACTCGGACTGCAACTTTTCTGTAGTAAACCCTTGAATTGACAAGTATATACGGCGATTAAACACGTTTGATCAATAAAGACAAGGAACGGTCTGAGCTAGAAAAGGAAGAAGAAAACGACAAAAGCTCAGTTGGTTTGGAGTTGACCAGAAACTAGTCAACCGGACCAATGAAGCTTTCAGACTTCAGATTCGTCGCCTCTCCTCGTGCTGACTCATCTCTCTCCTTCTCCTCCTGCTTCCTATTCAATCAAAAGAGTTTTTCACTCACTGACGCAATTCACTTTTCATTTTGAACCATCTGATCTCTCCCTCAGACTTTCTCTTCCTCTTGTTTTCTCTCTTCTTGTTCAAAGTGGTAAGCTCTTCAACTCTTTCTCTCCCCTCTGAACGTAGCACAACTCTAATTCTTGTTAAATTGATTGAATCAGGTTAGAAAAAATATTAAGAACGAACCCACAAACCTCATGCTTGCCCCTTGCACTCCCAGGTGAGAGAATTTTAGTTGAACTCGAGGAATTCAATCTCATTTTTTACAGAGAAATTGATTGTTGTGTGAGAAATTGATGTTTGATTAGTGTTACTTGATTGCTTTTGATTATTTTACTTTGAATTTGGTGATTATTTGAGCGAACTAAAGAAATCCCGAACGTTATTTAGGGCTTGACCAAAACTTGGTCAGCCGAACCGAGAATTTCAAAAAAAAATTTAAGCTCGATGTTGAAGATGAAATTGATCCGTAGGACCGAGATTTTGTCAGGGGCGGACCAGCGGAAAAAAAAATTGGTCCACCGGACCGGATTTTGGTATGAGGCTGACCAATTTAACTAACCAAACTTGGTTTGGACCGAGTGAAAAGAAAATGAAGGAAAAGAGAAAAAAGGTTTGTTTGCTAGACCAAGATTTGGTTCAAGATTGCCCAGCCCTGAGTAAATACTGACTTGCATTGACGGACTGAGCGACAGACTAGGAGGAGTGAGGCTGGTCCGGAGCTAACCGGAATTGGTTTGCCAGACCAGTATGAGAAAAAGAATAAATTTGAAGTCCGTTTGAAACAAAAGAAGAAAGGGCTTGTCCGCTGGACTAAAACCCAGTCCAGGGCTATCTAACTTAGAAATTGTAGGACAAATAAAATTTGATTAATTCATATAACCGGAATGGAGCTTTATCTATCAGTAAGTATGAAAACCCAAGCCGAGTCGAGCTAGTAATCTGGGTTGTCCGGAATCTAGTTTAATCAAACCGATTATCTAAAAGATTAGAATAAACCTAAGAGACAATATGCATGACTGCATATATGGTAAGTGATGCATATGATTAGGAAAATTGTGATAGGATTGTTGGCATGGTATTAGCAATACATGGACAGGTCCAGGTATTATTACTGCGTGATTATAAATGAGTAGAGGATAATAACTCGACGGTTGCTCGATTGTAGTCTCCGCTGTAGGACATTTCGATCCGGAATGGATGTCACACCACGAAAGACTTGATTGTGAATGTGGTCATGTTAATATTGCGCCAACACCCTTATCGAACAGTTAAGGCACCTCAAAGATCCATGTACTCATCAGTTGACGAATGGAGTCAGTAAGGTTGTATGGGGAGGAGTACAGTTTTTTGGTAACCGTGTCAATATTCCATTGGCCTTAGAATGAAATTTAGGATTGTGTGAGTCTTGAAGAGTGGCAAACAAGCATGATACACGGTTGTTTCTGAAGGAAATCAGATTTGATAGTGTTTGAGAATAAAGAACAAAATGAGATTTGAGAATATAAGATTAAAAAGTGTGCAAGGAGACATGTATTTTCTTATCTTATTCAATAGGAACATACACACTTTAAATAGCTACAATAGATGAAAATATAAAAGGAAATGGGACAAAAACATATCTAAGGAATAAGGAAAGTGGTAGACGTTAGAGTATGTAAGGCAAGTGTATATGTTTATGATTAGATTGATGCATAATTGGTTCTTAGTTTATTCTTGAATATCCCAACGTCCAAGTCTTCCCTTAGATGTCAACCATGGCCCCACATCACTCCATGGGCTAAACCAATTTTGTTTGAGCCCACATCAAACTCATATTATTGTACGTATGACCTGCATCATTGTTTCGGCTTGTTCTTCATCATTTCACTTAGCACGATCTTCATTTAATGCTCATCTTTTGCTTTTTGGTTCAACATTCCCCCTCAAGATTAGATTGGAGGAATTTCAGAAATCTAATCTTGTCAAGAGAATGCATTGGTTGATCTTCAAGCTTCCAAGATCCTTACATGGTGGTTTCATTGGTTCCAAGATTCCAATTTGTCTTGTGTTCATATTCATTTTCTGCAACATCTCGAAGAATATATTAGTAGACATTTGGGAGGCCATAGCACTTCGTTTAATATAAAAAAACCCAATGCAATAATGCCAAAGTTTGTGTGTCATCAAACAAGAGTAAGAATAGTGTTCTAATATGAACAAACTTTAAGTTTGATGCTGTTAATTCATAAGAATTCATCTGAACAACGAGATTTACATTTGGTTTATCATTTATGTTGAACACATTAGCCAAATGCTCATTGAATATGAGGAACATGTCATATATATGTTTATATGTATCATAAGCATGCTTTAGAGTATTCATGACCATTATGCTTTGTTTTTCCTCATGCAATGAATGGACATTTTCATTAGGATAAAAAACAAAAGGTTTGAAGATCATTTTACCAATCTTAGAATTGTTGAAACACATAGGCAATATGAACCTCTTGTTGGACAGATTTCTATTCTCGGATTTTCGGCTAGTCATTGTAGTGGTTGTTGTGCCTTTTTCGCTTGTCAAGCGCACGAGGGCTTCACCACATTCTCCCTCACTCGTGTGATTGAAGGAGTTGAAGTATGCTTCATGTATTTTATTTGTGTTATTTTTCTGTTCCTTTTCAAATAAAGAAAGACAAGGATTTGCATGAAAATCAAATGAAAAAGGTGTAGAGTTGGACCGAATGATCATGTCTTTGTGATCTTCATTCTCGGTGTGTAGGATGCTCAATGCTTCTTCTTCCATTACTTCTTTCGGTTCAGTCCTTTCCACATTTTCTTCATCGAGGATTGAACCATTGTTGGGGGTAAGGGAGTAGGGATCCCAATTGTCATGCACATCATCCATTTGCACATATTCCCCCTCAACCGAAACCTGTTCCATTTTGCTCATCAAAAACATGTTAATGGCAAAAAACTTCATGGTATCAGAGCAAGATCCATGGTGATCACTATTCTTTTTTCCGCTGCATAAATTTTTGAGAAAACAAAGCTCTATCCCTCTTGTAATAAACACCAAAGAGGCGAGAAACATGACATACGGGTTGGCGTATGAAGATTTCAAGGTCATAGCAACCTTTGAGTACATCCAAAAATTCAAGTTGCTCCAAAATGCATGGAATAACATGCTTGAAGAACAAAGAGACAAGGCGTTCAAGGGAGTTGGGGATAGAATCAAGGAACTTCATACCAATCTAAGCATCGAAACACGTAAACTCTATACCTTTCTTGGATTTTTGGATGGTATACACAACAAACTAATCTTGCAACTTATAAAAGCCAAAGGGAAAATATCCCTCATGGAAGCAAAAATGAAGTGGTGCGACGAACGCACTCAAAACATCTTAAACGAGGAACAACAGGAGTGGTTATCGGAAGAAGAGATGACCGACCAAACCGTCCGAGAATTCTTCATTGAATACATGACGCCTATTCATCCACAACGTGAGGGGGGATGTGAGGAGATCACTCCCATGTGTGTGGATGATGGGATGTTAAATGAACAACTTAATGAAGAGGGTGAAGAAAAAATTATACAAATCGAAGAACTCGAACACACGGGAGAAGTAGGACCGGATTGCTCAAAAGAAGAAGAAGGGAATCAAATGGAGTTCGTAAAGGATGATGACCTACAAACGGAGGCAAAGAACCCAAAAATGAGGCATCACCTATGGAGAACAACCTTGTCCCGTTCGTTCTTCCCAAGGCAAATCCGATCATGCACTTCCAATGCATCGGCAATAGAGTTTGTCATTCATTCTTCTCTCCACTTCACTTTGAGTTTGTTATTCCTAATGATATGTTTGGTATTTTAAGTGTCTATGGACATAAAATAAAGAACACATTCATGATGGAACGTCGAGATGGACAAAAAACCCTCACTGATACAAAGGAGATCCATGTACGACGACGAACGCCAATGCATGGGAAAATGACTGACAAACACGTAACATTACTTATGAGGTTCAACAACTCTAGGATTGGTAAAAACACTCTCAAACCTTATATCTTTTATGCCGAAAAACATATACATATGTTGTATAATGATCAAAACATACTTGTCTGAAATACATTTGACCATGAAAAAGATATAACTGACATGCTTTTAGTGTTCAATGAAAATTTGAGGGATGTTTTTTGTTGGAATACAAAAGCAAATGTGAATCCTATCTTACAAATAATGTTTCATATGTCAAGATTATCAAATTTAGCATTCATTCATATTAGAACATTATTTCTACTTTTATTTGATGGAAAACATATCATTGCATTTTTACATTCATTTTCTTGTGTCAATCGGAGCGTCATGACCTCCTTTGTGTTGTCTAACCATCTTCTTGAGTCTATACAGAAAATAAAGTCTAAACAAACATGTGCAATGGTGGACAAACCAAAAGAACCACCATGGGATGTGATCGTACACTTAAGGGGGAACCGATGCAAGTATGGAGACATATATTCGACAAGATCGATTTCTCGACTTTCCTCCAAACCAATCTTGAGAGGGAATGTTGGATAAAAGATTAGATCGGACACCAATACAAACTTGGACGTTCTCACGTACTCGACGATAGCTTGTGAGACAAGAAACATTTTGGACAGATAAACACAAGGAAACTTGGTGACAATGATGAATCGATAAGGTAAGATGTGATACAAGGACAAAGTTTCCATCTATGGTCAATGGTTAAAACTAAATCAAAACTAAATCATGGAAAAATTGATTTTGGTGTAGATTTATAGCCGTTTGATTTTATTTACTATTCCATGTATTTTGTTCTTTCCTTCTATGTTTTCTCATGGACTTCTGTATGTACGTGACTGTATTATTCATTAATTATTATCAACTCTCCTTTTTCCATTAAAATTTGGTCTTCTCTTTCACCGAGCTTAGAGCTTCGTTTATGCATTTACTAGTTTTCTGATCTTTAATTCTAAAATCCCACAACGATGTGGTAAAGATTTACTCTAAAAGGTTTGAGCTCGAGTCTGATGAGTACCTCGAGGTCAGCGAGAGAGAGTTCCAAAAATGGGACTTTACCCGGTAGTCGATGGCGTCGGAGGTTGACGCATGGGGTAAATTGAAGAAGAATTGATCCCAGATCCGAGAATTCTGATATCAGTTATGAAGGTGATATAAGTAATTCATAAATGGTCCTTGCATATGGATATGTTTGGGCTGATGCGTTTGTGTGTAAAGACAAATATGAAGTGATGATCATTGCGTTCCGATTCGCTTGGGTTGATCTAGGCGTGCGATGTGCCTAGAGACGAATTGACGATCATGATCAAATGATTTATTATTCAGACTGATTGATATTGAGACTTTGTGATTGATTGAATTGATTTTGATATCTTATCGTATGTATATATATATTCATATTTATATCTTATTCGTGTATTGTTTGGCCGATTTTTTATATGAGAGAGGAGTACCTGGGTTAAACCTGAGTTCCTCACTCAACATGTCGCTGAGAGCATTGTTATGCAATGCTTCAGATCAAGAGCAACGGTAGTAGCGACAGTGAATGTGGACTCGGTGCTCTTTTGCCTCTTGTATGATCATGTACAATCATCTCTTATGTATTTCCCTTTTATACTTGTTGCGATTTACTTTCTTACTCTGATGTTGATATTCCACCTTCTTGCCTCGTTGACATGGCTAAATCAGTAAATGAAAATTCCGTCTAAAACCAATATTTGTTTTCTATGTTGTCATTCTCGCATGACTAAATCGATCGATTAGTTCGAATTCGAAAGAGAAAAGGTGGAGTCTTTCAACATGCCCACCTACTTTGCACAAGATAGTGAATTCAAGCAAGTTATAGATAAGAATGGTTGCTTCACGATCGAGAAGACGGAGAAGTGAGCCATGAGAACGAGGAGTTTCCTTCGAACGCAAGGTTCTTTAACAAATATTTACAATCTAAAACAGCATAAATCTAGTAAAAATCCATCCACTTTTCCATCTTAAACGAACAATAATTGAAAAGAACGATAAACATGTTCACGAAAGGACTACCAGACTTAACCGGCATGACCATGCTCCCTGAAATTTGTCAACTCATCGGCGTATGCAGCGTCCCAATAGCTTTGAAGACCAAGCATTGACTGTACTCCATCAGCATCTGGCTCTTCCTTGTCGGAACTGTGTAACGGAACACCATTGTTGATCAATCAAGAAATGTCTAAACACTAGATCCGCCAGAATGCAAAAATCATCCTAAAAATCAAACATTGAAAGGCTTCACTATTCTCTAATTCGACGTAACGCTCAAGAATCTCAAACAAAAAATTTCTGGATTACGCGCAACCTCAACATAGTGATCTAAATTGCCCATGAATCAATTCATATCACCCGAATCTGAACCCATATCACTGAAAGCCAAACACTCAACTTGAGTTTAGACGTATCGAAGAAAACTAAATTTTCTAACTATGCCCAGTCATTTTCCCAGAAAGTATTACTGATTTCAAAGAAAAAGAGACTCAATTCATTTTCCGAGAAAGTGCGAACTGATCTAAAAAAAAAAAGAACGGAGCGAAATAAAAAAACCAGTAGTCGGAGGGATCTCGAAGGTTTCCGGAGGAGAGGGCCTCTGCAGCGTCGGCGTGACGCTGTTCATCGTCTAGAGTGCTCCCGTACTCGCTCTTGATCGACCACGAGTCCGCCGCAACAGACCGGTCGTCGTCAGACGCCAAACTCTCCACTGGCGTCGGCGCAGCCGCTCGAGTCTGTTGCTGAGGAGTCGTCTCCGATTCTTCCGGTGGCAATCGGATTCCCGCCATCTGACACAAGGCTTGTGATCAAGGAGGAGGAACGATTTCGAGTATCTTCTATCGCAGGTGTGTGCGCCCCCACACTTTTTCTTATTTACTTGTTCAAGCGTGTTATTATTATTTTTTTAAAATATTAATATTTTTGTATTATTTTAATTTAGTTTACTGGTTAGATTTTAAAAATAAAATTTTAAACATACGAATATCATAAAACCTCCTCTATTTAAACAAACACGCCAATTAATTAATTTGTTGTGTTTCTTTAAAGGAATAAAGACTGAATAATCGATCCAGTTTGGTCTATGAATACATTAACAAGTGTGCAAATGCTCATATAAAGTTGTTTTCTAATGACTGATATATAAACTTCAGCTTTTGTCTTTCACCGTGGAAGTAGATTTATTCTACATATATTTTGATGAATTACAAGAAAATTTGATAACCAAAAGTTTGAACGCAAAACTAACGTGATTTCCGGTATTATTTAGTACAAAGACTACGTATAGCTCAATAGATCTTTCGCTTAAGTAAGATGAAGTATTGCATATCCTTTTGGCACTTGAAAAAATCAACAGGGTCTTTGTTCAACTTCTTAGCAAATCGATCGAACAGTTCATCAATAACACCGCCTCCGAAATGTTCTTCTATGACTCCGTGGAAGATGGCTCGATAAGAGGAAGTGATGAAGTCGTTGCTTAGCAGCATATCCTCCATAGGATGCTTCACTTCTTCCATAATCTCAATGGTAAAACACCCGTTTTGCTCTATCACCTCCTTCAATTCGCTAAATTGTGGGAAGTATACCGGCAAGTTGAAAGATTCCACCTTTTCCACGCTTGTTATTCCCTATGTCAACTCAAAAGAAAAGAAAATAAAAACAGATTATACCACTTGGTCACCTTTAAATTATAACATTGTATTGAGTTCAAACTTGTAGGTTTTGGTATCCACATGTTTCGCCTAATGATATTGATTTTTCAAATATAGAAAGATATATTTGGCCGTATAGACCAATCTATAACGTCGAAACTGAGCAGAGAGAACAATTTCAAGCTTTCTTACCGATTTGGCCATATCGACCAAACAATCTCTGATCATTTCATGGACAACGCCTTTCCATGTCCGAATCATCTGTACACCATCGGGCAAACACAGTCCCAAAATGATCATCAATCCTCCAGGGACAAGTTCTTGAGCTCTAGCTTCAATGAAAGCTCCCATGTCCTTCTTGAATTGTTTCTTGTAAGCTTCGGTCACTTCTTCAACTAGATTAGTACATTGGATATTTTTTTTCCAAGCTTGTGAGTTTTGGTTACAAACATCTTCAGGAGCTTCTGAGAGCCAGTGGATTGAGTAAGAAGTGTGTCCAATGTGAAGGCTGTTTCTTGGAAATACTCGGCCGAAAAAGGATCCGGGAACACCACATGCAAAAACTTCACGATCAATGTGATACCGAGGTAGGGTTTTGAAGAGGGTATTAAAGTCATTGTCGGATTGATCGTTGAAGAACACATGGAACTCGAGGTTTTCATGGTTGTTTCTATTGGTTTCGTCTTGTTGGTGTTTGAGTTTTATGGTTTCGATAATGTTTTCGATAACATCGAATGTGTTGGGACCAACTGAACAACCGAAATCTGCGATTCTGTAAGAACTTAGGTTAAATATCGAAGTTTTAAGATCGAGTTTTGCTAAAATGGCTTTTTTGGCGCTTGTTTTCACACTCTCTATTGCAGCTTTCTGAAAAGGTAGAGATTTGATATATGAATCCATAAGGATTATAATTAGATTCTATATACACCACAGTATCATCACTGGAATATAGATAGATAGCGATAATGTAATATTTTTTAGAAACTTACTTGGTACGTAGAATTACGAATATAACTATGTGGACCGTCACCGCCCATCATAGGATACGATGATTGAAGTAATGTGGAAACGGGTTTTCCATTCGCCATTTCCCTCCGATTATACTTCAAAAATTGTTGTGACAATATTTTGTTCAAGTTTCAATTTCAATTTATAGCCGAAACCATTAGACACTTTCAATAAATAGTGATTTGAAAAGTAATATAATGGACGAAGAAAACTATTCCTTAAGACCTTTCTTGATCCCTATTGCATCTTGTATTTTTCACGTTTTATTTATTTAGAACATAATTGGCAGTTGTTGTCGACAAGTTGGTTTCATCTTCCTTGAATTTTCTTTCATGTCGTATAAGATACAATTATTCTTATAAGCTACAAATTTTCCACGTTTTATTTACCCTGGCTGCTATTTTGAACAAAAGCCGCTTTTCATGTTATTGTACAAAATCAATGGACGCTGTCGCATGCATGCATGCAACGTTCCCCTGATTATTAGGGATGTCAACTTCAGCTCGTGAACTGACAATCGAAAAATCAAAAGGCAGGGGCAAGCAAAAGTTAATTTGATTTACCCGACGTACCAATACAGATACTAAGACAACGAAATTTCAACTAAAGATTTCTATATATCTACGCATTATAATCGTCCCCACTCTCAAAACATTTTCATACAAAAAAACATTAGAGAGAGAGAGAGAGAGAGAGAGAGAGAGAGATGGCTCATTCGCACACGATGATCGGTGGCAACGGTCGAGAAAGTTACAGTAAGAATTCCACGTATCAGGTGATTTGTTGTATAATCAATTCCTAAGTTATCATCATTTTGTTATTTAATTATCACATATTTCATTTTTTTTTTCTTTTTTCTAAGATTGAATATCTTATCTTCCAAAAAAATATATATATATTTGATCTTCCAAAAATGTAACTAATACATACACGGGGATGCCATGTCACAATAGAGAGCACTGCTTGAAGCTACAAAGGAAAAGATCGATGAAGCCGTCTCCATGAAACTCGACCTTGGCATCGCTTCCAGCCACTTCAATGTCGCGGATTTCGGTTGTTCCACCGGGCCAAACACGTTTGTGGCGGTCCGAAACATCATAGATGCCGTGGAACACAAGTTTCGTAGACAGACTCAACAGAACCCTAAAGAGATAGACGAAACCAATAGAAACAACCCTAAAGAGATCGAGTTCCAAGTTTTCTTCAACGATCATTCCAACAACGATTTCAACACTCTCTTTAAGACACTTCCTCCTCCGACAACGAGGGAATATTTTGCTGTCGGGGTTCCAGGCTCGTTCTATTCCCGTGTTCTTCCGAGAAACAACCTCCATTTAGGCCATTGTTCATATTCACTTCACTGGCTGTCCCAAGTCCCGGAAAATGTCACGGAGTTTAACAAGGACAGTATTCATTGTACCGGATTCGTCAAAGAGGTTACCGAAGCGTATCTTGGTCAGTTCAAGATCGACTTTGGAAGTTTCTTGGATGCAAGAGCTCAAGAGCTTGTGTCTGGAGGCTTGCTCATGCTTCTTGGATCATGTCTACCTGACGGTGTTCAAATGTCTGAAACTATGAAAGGGAAGATCATCGATTGTGCTGGTTCTTGCCTCGGTGACATGGCTAAATCGGTAAACAAAATTCTGTCCAAACCCGTTACTCGTATTTTCTATATTGTCATTCTCGTATGATTAAAGCGATCGGTTCGAATTCGAAAAGGGATTGATCGAAAGAGAAAAGGTGGAGTCTTTCAACATGCCCATCTACTTTGCACAAGAGAGTGAGTTCAAGCAAGTTATAGAGAAGAATGGTGGATTCACGATCGAGAAGATGGAGAGAGTGAGCCACGAGAACGAGGAGTTTCCTTCGGACGCAAGGTTCTTGAGGGATTCGTACAGAGCGGCGTTCGGAGGAGTTGCAGAGGCGAGTTTCGGCGGAGATATGGTTGACAAGATGATGGATCTGTTCGAGGAGAAAGTTCATGAGTTCATTGACAAGCCAACCAAAGCCGGAATGCAGTTCTTCGTTCTTCTGCGAAGAAACTGAACTGATCAAGGATTTTATGTTTGGCTTTACAATAATGTTTTTTTCCTCTCTGGATCGAGAAGAGAATAAAGAGTAGTCAAAAGAAGGATTGAAAATGGCTCCCGCTGTTCCCAACTTCCCCGTCCTCGTATGTTTATTGCTCCTCAAACCTAATAGATATGGTGTATACGTATATATATACACACGAGTGTGTATGTTTCCTGAAAATATCTAAGAATAATAAGATTATTACTAGTTTCAAATATAAATTATATATACATACATATGTATGTTCCCGATTAAAATATAAATTATATATATAAATACATACATATATAGGTAAATATACATACATACATATATATTCACATATATTTAATCATTTATAGATAATATATAAATATAAATAAAATGTATATACATGTATAAAAAATATATAAAAAAAATTTAATACTAAATAATTTAGGATATAATATTTTCATAGATGATATAATCAAAATTACAATACTATTAGTTTCAAATATTTATTCCAATTGAAAAATATAATAATTTAATATTTTAAAAAATTTATTATCATATAAATTTAAAAATTCAAAATTTAACTTATATTAAATCAAAATATATAACTTTGTGATCCATTTTTTTTATCTTTTTATTATCACGAAATATAATAATTTTTTTTATTGTAATTATATTAATTTGTTTCTAATTTTTTTATTTTGTTTTTGAAATTTTTTAAACCCGAAACCCAACACGAATCCGATAAAAGTCCATAGGGTCAGATTTCGGGCCGGACCGGTCTAACTCGTAAATATTCACACTTATATCGGGCTCGAACCGAACCGATCCAATTCGTAAATATTCGGACTTGTGTCTGGGGTCGACCGCCCGGTCACCTCTAAATAATATCTTTTGTTTGACCCCATTTCTAAATATATAAAATATTAGCGAAAAATAAGAAAAAAAAATCGAGGCCCCACATATATAGACAGATTGATAATCTGACTGACATTATTTTAATAATGAACCAAGGGTGGGGTCCAAATCACGTCTCACGGATACCACACGTTCCGATTATGGTACGAATATTCGTCCTTGGCGACGAGGATATGATTGGTGGCGAGTCGACGGTCGAGGATATATAATAGAATTTATTAGTTGTTATAATTTGGAACCATATTAACGTAATTTAATTGAGAATAATGTCCAAATCTCGGTATAAATAATGATATTCTCTATGATTGTTTAACACTTTAACTGTTATGCAACAACGATTAAACAGATATAATAACGAGATGATATTTTAATTTTATTTTTCTATATTGTTATCACCGGTAACCACGGGAATTTTGGTTCGACTTTTACGATGCTTAGTCCGGTTTATTTATGTTCAAACCAAATTAAATGAAAATACGTATGGAATGAGAAAATCTATTTGGTTAACGAGAGGAAAGATCTAAGGTTTGACTTTTCTCAAGCGCCCATGCATCTATCTGATGGAATTGCCTCCATTATCTCATCATCTTAAATGATTGATCATCAGAACTCATCAGACATAATACAACATTTGGAGAAGGTCCAAGATTATTATTATTTTTTTATAATTCGGAAATTCGCCGTGTATTTACATCTCCAAATATTCGTAGACAGTCTTTACGATACAATAAAATTGTGCACTCCCTCCCCAACCCGCTGTTCTAGCGGTACAGCATTAGGCCAAGACCTCCTGAGTGAGACAGGTCCAAGATTTCGAAACTGATTATTGAATGATGAAACTGATATTATATGTTTGATCATTGTATTAAGCAATGGAAAACAACCTTAGCCTAACATAATCATGATCGATCGATCTTTTTCTTAAGTAAGATGAAGTACTGCATATCCTTTTGGCTCGCTCTCGAATAAATAGAGCGATCTCTCGTCGATTTCTTACCAAATCGATCAAATAGTTCATCAACAACACCGCCTCCGAAATGCTCTTCTATGAACCCATGCAACATAGCTCGAAACATGGAAATGATGAAGCCGTCGGTAAACGGCATATCCTCCATAGGATGTTTCACTTCCTCCATAACCTCAATGCTAAAGCATCCATTTTGCTCTATCACTTCCTTCAGTTCACTAAATTGTGGAAAGTATATTGGCAACTTGAATGATTCGACCTTTTCCTCTTTTATTATTCCCTACAGGTTTGCAAAACATGAAAGAAGCATATTATTGAGAACTAATCACTGTTTGACTGCTCCTATTTCTCACTTGAACAATGGTTATTGAGAATTAATGGTATTGTGAACTACACGAAAGAAGCATATTAACTGTGAACTATTCACTGTATTGAACAATGGTATTGAGAATGCGTAAAATTTACATTTCTACACAGTTTACGTATTGAGATATTTCCTATTTAATCTGACTTTTCCTCTTCTTCTATAGAGAATTATATTTGTTTATGGTGCAACCGAGTTTAAACATGAGATTCCATATGACAAAATCTCGCGCCTAACCATTATTAAAATTTACAACATAAAAGATAAAAAAAAAAGCATTTTGTTTTAATAGAAACTAAACCTTTATCTCTAAATAAATAATAATAATAATATATATTTGGTGGAATAGACCAATCCAATGTCAAAATTGAGCGAAGAGAAGGTTCCAAGCTTTCTTACCGATTTGGCCATATCGATCAGACAATCTCTGATCATATCATATACGACACCTTTCCATGTCCGAATCATTTGTACGCCGTCGGGCAGACACAGTCCCAAGATAATCATCAATCCTCCGGGGACAAGTTCTTGAGCTCTAGCTGCAATGAAAGCTCTCATGTCCTTCTTGAATTGGTTCCTGTAAGCTTCGGTCACTTGTTCGACTAAATTAGTACAAAGGATGCTGTTTTTGTTCCAAGCTTGCGAGTTTCGGTTACAAACATCTTCCGGAGTTGTTGAGAGCCAAACGAGTGTATTAGAAGTGTGTCCAATATGAAGACTGTTTCTCGGGAATAGTCGGCGGTAGAAGGAACCGGGAACACCGCAAGCAAAGATTTCACGGTCGAGGTGATACCGAGGTAAGGTTTTGAAGAGAGTATTGAAGTCATTGTCAGTTTGATCGTTGAAGAAAACATGGAACTCGAGGTGTTCATGGTTATTTCCTTTGGTTTCTTCTTGTTGGTGTTTGAGTTTTAAGGTTTCTATGATGTTTTGGATAACATCCAATGTGTTGGATCCAACTGAACAACCGAAATCCGCGATTTTGTAAGTGTTTAGGTCAAGTTTCGTGGTTTTAAGACCGAGTTTTGCTAAAATGGTTTCTTTGATCTTTGCTCTTACACTCTCTATTGCAGCTTTCTGGATGACAAGCAGTAAAGATTTGATATATAAATACATAACTCAAACATCTAGCTAATCACGCCCTAATTGTACAACCAAACCCAAATTACAAGTATAATTAATCTAATATTTCATAAAAACTTACTTGGTAAGTAGAATTACGAAGGTAACTATGTGGGCCGTCACCACCGATCATGGGATATGATTGAATTAATGTCGGCTTCACGTTCGCCATTTCTTCCAATACGACTCCAAAATTTCTCATGACAATCCTTGGTTTGAGTTTCAATTCAATTTATAGCTGAAACATTTCGATAACAACAAGCCAGTTTTCTTTTTATGAATAAAAATGAAATAATTTGCAAAGCCATTTAATGGACAAAAAAAATAATTGACAAGGCGACAAGATTTGTCCATGTTTCATGCATTTTCCTCGCTGCTGTAAACACATGTTGTCGACAAATATTGATGGGCATTTAATGGTGGGCATTTAATGGAGATTTTAGTATTTGATTCAATACAAATATGTATCCATCAATTATTATATTATTATATTTGATTCCATTCAGTTTTGGTATTTGTTAGGAATATATATATTTTCTTAAGAAATTTTGGATTTTTCCAAAGTTTTGTTTTAAATTCGTTACGGTTCGATTCAGCTATTTAGAAATATTACCGTTCGAATTTCGATTTGAAAACGGCGTCAAGTTTTCGTTTTGTTTGATTCAGAAACATTACTGAGTTTTTTTAGGATGAGTTCGAAAATGGTGCCGATTTTTTTTATTCAGATCAGAAATTTTATCAAGTTTTTGAGTACGGTACGATTCAGAAACAGAAGTGAGTTTTCAGTTTGATTCGAAAACAATATCGAATTTTCAGTTCGTTTTGATTCGAAAACGATACTAAATTTTTCGGTTTTCATTCGATTTGAAAATCGTATCATACTTTTTTTTGTTTTGGTTCGGTTTGGAAACGTTATCTATTTTTTTTATTCGATTCAAAAATAGTATCGAATATATCCATGTATATATATATATGTACATGTATATAAAATATTTATATATCTATATATTATAAATTTAGTTATATAGTTTATTTAAAAAAACGATATTTTTTACACGAAATTATCAAAATCTGATTTTTTTTATAGAGGATTTTTTAATTTGACAAAAGATTAAGCTTGTCTAACCCGAAATTTAAAAAAAAAAAGAAAGACACGATCGATCAATCGTTTAAAGGAACAGAATGATTAGAAGCAGCTAAACTTGCGTCGCATCCAAGGGCTCCAAATCGCACTTTGGCAACAGACCTTCTCTTCCCTCATGATCGATCAATCGTGTAAAGGTCCGGTTTGCTTCTATGAACCATTTCTCATTGTTGTACGGTCGAAGTTTGTATTTCTAGGCTATTTAACAGGCTAGGAGTAATGGGTAAAAGATTGGAACGAAAATTGGTGGAAATATCGATCAAAAGTATTAAATGTGTCGTATTAATTACAACGCGCCATCGTCTGGGCCTTAGGCCCAATTGTAATCCAAATTTTGGAAATTTGGGCCATTTTTCAACTGACGATCGCACCGTGGATCGTCATTTTTCACAGCTGTCGTATTTTGCTGATAACTTCCTGTTCCATAACTTCCTGTTCCAGTGTCAGAGTTGAGGGATCTTGGTATTTATATATAGATATCGAACTTTCTAATGGCATATAGAACATATAATTTGGACCTATGTAGAGAAAGCTATGGAACTCGAAATATATAACTCTTTTGTATATGCTCTCGGTCGATATCGAAACTTACAGGATCGGATTAAAAACGTCTAACAAATCTGGAATTAAATCGTACTATATGAAATACCTACAAAGTGTTAAGATAGATAAAACATGTGGTATAAAATATCTAAAAATAAGAAAAACTGCAAATATTACCCAACTGGACGGATAGAATTACATGACGTAGGATAATACATCGGTGGGTGTCGGGTATCAGGACACGTAGAAAATTATGGTAGGGATAGCATCCTTGTGATTATGGTTTGCTCATGTGTGGCCCATGATTGGTGTCGCGGTGCAGCACGAAGTATAGCGTTTCTAAGGAAAGGACCATTGGCCCGCGTACATAGTATAGATGGATGAAGGAGACAATACTAGTACGATGGAGAGAGAAGCCAAACCGATACTGGTTGATGAACACGTCAGTATTTGGGAGACCAATACTGGTTGATGAACGACTCAATATAGGTAAAAGTTATAACAGTACTGATTGACGGCTGAGTCAGCTTGGTGAGATTTGGATCCAATATCGATTGATGAAGGAGGCAATACTGGAAGGTTTGGAATCAGAACCAGTTGACGAATGAGTTAGTACTGCCAAAATACAGTATCGTTTGACGAACGAGTGAGTACTGCATGAGGTTTATGGGTCTAGTACAGATAGACGAAGGAGTCAGTACTGAAAAAATTGTATGTGAGTATCAGGTACAGATAGACGAAAGAGTCGGTAACGTACGTACGATACTGAGGTTACAAATGGATATCGATTGACGACTGAATCAGTACCACTAGACCGGTTAATGACATAGTTAGTACTGATGCGTATTGGGTCCGAGGAACCTTATAGGCAGTGTCAGTGATGACTGAGTCAGTGTTATTGCATAGGAAAGGGTTTGCGTTGGTAGTTGGTACCCTTGATGGATAAGTTCGTACCACACCATTGGAATATCTGGCACATCATGTGGTCAATGTCGGTGGAAGAGTCAACACTATTGTAATACCCCGAATCACTAAATAAATATTTAATTATTTTTGAAAATAAATAATTAAATAAATACGTATAATAATTCAAAAATGGAAGTGAAAAATAAAATAGAAAAGAGTACGAATTCAGAAAACATAAAAAAGGATAAAAACAAATAAGCGAAGAGGAATATTGAAATTTATCTTCAGTCCGAATCTGACCAAAAATTGGTCAACCGGACCAGGATTCGTTCGTCGAACCAAGACAAAAAGGAACGGAACGGATAAAGACAAAAAATTTAGAAAAATGAAGTTGGTCCACCGAACCAAAATCTGGTCAGGGTCGGACCAACCTACTCAGACAACAAACTTCACCAGTGGACCCGAGGGAAGAAGAGGCGGACCGAAAGAAGAAAATGGAAGGCTAGTTCGGGGCTGACCAGAAGTCAATCCGCTAGACCAGGTTCGCTCCCAGGGAAAAGAACCATGTCGAACCAAAGGCGGACTGAGAGGACGAGAGTGAGTCTAGTCTAGAGCTGACCAACAGTTGGTTAGCCAGACCAGAACACTCAGTCGGACTGAAGTGGGCATCGGCAGACCAAAAAACTAATTTGGTCAGCCGGTCCGGCAGACCAAGTTTTTGGACTGGTGGACTGGTAGTGCAAAATTCTGCAAGTGAAGCAACCACATTCCCACATGGTTTTCTCGTGTCAAACCGATCCACACCTACTCCACAACCGCCCGACATGAAGTAGGAGGCACCAATTAACCCCTACATTGGTCCCTTCAATGCCAAACTCTCTCTCCCTCTCATAATAACCTCATCATCTCCCTCAATCAGCCATTTTCGGACTGAAATTTTGTAGAAAAAAGAAAGAGAAAAAGAGAGAGAGAGAGAGAGAGAGAAAAAGAAAGAAAGGGAGAAGATAGAAAGGGAGCCTGTGGAAGTAAGGAGGGACTGTCCTAGAAGATTTCTAGGAGTTCTTGATGGAGAGCAAACCCAGAAACGTCGCACAAATCTTGGCCAAGATAGATCGGAACTGAAACAGGGGTGAGTGACTTAAGTTGCTTATATGTACTCTCGTTTTCATCATGTGACTGTGATATCTCAATGGCTTGTTGAATGAGATTGAAAGAGACATTTCAATGAGGATTTAAAAACAAACGATACTCGATTTGGTTGAGAAACGATGGAGATATGAGCGAATGAAAACTGTAGGAAAACTGAAACTGTAGAGTCACGATTTTTCAAGGTATAGGGGTTACGAATTGTTTTTCAACGTGTATACATATGTTTTCAATAATCTATTGCTTGAATATGAAAGAGAACATCCCAATGAATATTTACAAATAAATGGTGCGCGATTTGGTTAATAAACGAGTGAGTTATGAGATCGAAGTCAGACCAAAAATATGAAAACACGAACGGATGAACTGTCTAGTTCCGGTCCACGGACCAGCAACTGGTCAGCTCCGGACTAAGACTGGGAAATTTTTAGGCAATTTTTCTAAAATACACCACGCGTGTCGCAAGAATTTCAGTTGTACACCTGAAAATTATTGAGCAAAATTTTTAACAAATTATACACCACTTTTTCTGCAAAATTACCTAAATATCCTTACAAACAAAATGTCGAAAATACCCTTATAAAGTGAATTAAAAAACGTGGGGTTTAAAAAATCAAAAAATGTGCTGTCTTCTCTCTCCTCTTCCATGTTCCATCAGCGTTCTTCTCCATCGTTAGGTTTTCGCCATTATTATAGAGCATTGTGGGACGATTTTTACGTCGGTTTTTTTTATGTATTTGATAGAAAAATCTACTATTAAAGTATAATGACTGTAAAATCCAATAAATTTCATCCATTATTATGCTATTTTTTAATATTGTATGGTTTAATATGATTGTTTGATATTGTTGACAAAAATTGATTTTGGGTGTAGAAAATGATAAATGTTAGTATTTTTATAAGAAAATAGATAGTTTTGAAGATTTATATACGTGTGTTTACGTTCGGTATAGTGGTATTTGGGAAAAAAATGATGATGAATTATATGAATGGAATGGAGATGAAGATAATAGAAAGCCAATATGTATTTGTTACAAAACAAGTCAAATGAATGAGTATATTGGAAGTGGTTGTGGTCAATTAAATATTGTTTTCAAAACAACAAAATTAATCTTCGTACCAATATATAGTTGACGACATAGGGTTAAATCTTTTATGTTTAACAAAATTAATTGGCGACGATGATTTATATGTTGAGCGGAAAGATGGTGATAGAATCGTTGAAGTCATATATGTGTAGATGAAGTTAAAGTTGGAATTGTTGTGACTAGTGATATTGCAATCGATTAAATCATGACTAAGTTGCGATTTATTTCTGAAAAATTTATTTATGAAAAAACTACCGAAGTCTCCAAAAACAAAAATTGGTCAGAAATGAAAAAAATTGTCCTTTGACTATGAGAAAAACTTTGATTGGGACATCTGTTAAAAAAAAAACAAAATTTTGTCTTATCTATATTTCATCTGATAACTGTAACGATTTTTTGTGAACTACTGAATCGTGACTGCGTTGCGACCTTTAAAAAAGTGAAGTTTATTTATAAAAAAATATTTTGATTAGTTTATTTATAAAAAAGCATAATGTGAAGAAAATATCGTGCGAAAAAGGTCTGACACATGCATTTTGTTCCGACACACAAACAGAAGAATAAGTAAAAAAATAATTCTGAAAAACCAAAATCTGACACATGTCAAAAAAGTAAGATTTTGTCTTATTATAAACTAAAACTAATATTTTGTAACTTAAAAACGGATGTTTTACGATTTTCGAAATTTAGTGATAATATCCTAAAAATCATTAAATGAAACGAGTTTTTATTGAGAATTCATATATATAGACTTAATATTGTCTAATTAAGCAGAATTAAGTGGAAAAATTGAGTTTAAAATTAAATTATAGAACTTTTATATAGAATCATCAACTTTGGACCAAATCACTCCATAATCTTTCTTACACATGTAGGAGTGTTTTCTAATTTACATGAAAAAAAAATTTCAAAATCTTTGTTTTCTTAATTTGTACATTTAAATCATTTTATAACACTTATTTGGTATGTTTTCGTCATTAATCGACCAAAAAATTGTCAAAAATTACGAGTATTTATATAAATACGACTAATGTAAGTCGTATTTAAGCTATAATTTATAATGTTTTCGCAATAGATTTTTTTATCATGGGTCCACCTGTTAGATGATTACTTTGACTTTTCTTTCATCGATTGCGACTTACTTTTTAATATTTCGACTTATTTTTTTAATATTGCGACTTATTTTTTTAATATTGCGACTTACTTTTAAATATTGCGACTTACTTTTTAATATTACGACTTACTTTTTAATCTTACGACTTACTACTTTTAAATATTTTGACTTACTTTTAAATATTCCGAGTTACTTTTTAATATTCCGACTTACTTTTTTAATATTACGACTTACTTTTTAATCTTACGACTTACTTTTAAATATTACGACTTACTTTTAAATATTCTGAGTTACTTTTTTTTTTTTAAAAAAATAACAACTACTCTATTACCACTTACTTTTTTATAAATCGTAATATATTTTTTTCCATTAACTACGATTTCAGAGTTTACAAACTCAACCTGTTTTCAAATAACACAAAATATCATAACGTGATAAAACCAAGTTCAAGTCTATCAAACCTAATACAAAATACCAAAATAACATCATGTCTTACAAAACAACATAACATAAAAACAAGTTCAAATCATGTTTTTTCAAATCAAGTTTAGATTTTTGTCCACGACCTCTATCTCTTCTACGTCCTCATCGATCTCTAACGATTCCACCCTTCGAATTGATAGACGACAAAGTATCCGCCCATGGACTCGATGTTTTACTTGATGTTTTTTTTGCCCTTTTTATTCGCTCGCTCAGTTTTCTTCCAACAAAAAGAACCTCTTGTTGTTCTTTTTCGGGTTCTCCTTCTTCTCCTTTCTCGGCCTCTCATTCTTCTCCTAAACCCTAAAAATGATTTCTTATTTACTACTTCATATCAAACACTTTCCAAATTTTATATTCTAAACTTCTAAATATTTGAATGAAATCTGATTTCGCGCTTTCCTTTGTATTTCATTAAGATAAAGTTGTTTTTTAAATTGAAAACTTAAACCTAATTTCTATACAAATTTTATTTAAAATTTCAAACTCAAATCGAAATATTTTACATTTGTTTTCGGAGAAGCTTTTTCAGGAGAATCATTTACGTCAATAGAACAACCTCCCTCACTCGACGACCGGGACTCCATTTCCTTCATTCGTTTTCGACCTAGCGAGAAGAAACGGTTGGGTTGCTTGATTTTCGGCTGGATTGCTCGACTTCCGACTGGGTTGTTCGATTTTCGGTCGAATCGCCTTATGTTCGACTATTCTCTCCTGTTTAGTTCCGTGATAGTAAAAAAACCTTAGTTTTCAGATTTATCTATATTTTTACCATCTTTTTCGATCTATTTCAGGATATAACCATACACGTGCACACTTGTTTTTCATTAAGGGGTATAGCGTCTTTTCCAGTTTTTCTAAGGACAGAGAAGTAATTTGTTAATTCTTTATATTTTTGAGGTGTACACATGAAATACATGCGACGCAGGTAGGGTATTTGAGAAAAAAGGCCAAATTTTTAGTCCTCTAGACCAAGGAGAAGAAGTTGAAGAAGTCTGTATGTGTATGTAATATATATACATATACATATTATTTTTAATAGATATATTATATATATATGTTAGTTATAACCACTTTTATTTAGTTATAATATATATATATGTTGTAGGTATGTATATATGCGTTTTATTAATTATAAGTAATTTTATTTTTAATATATATATATATATGTGAATTTGTATGTATATATATTAATTTAAATAAATTATTCAATCTAAATTTGGTTTGAAATGATGATGTGGCATAATTATTTGGAAGGCACGTCATTCCCACATCATAATTTTTATTTGAGCTGACAAAAACGGAGGGGTCTCGGCGAATTTTTTAAAAAATTTATTGGTTAATCACACCAAATACAGGGTTTCATTAGTGATGAAAAAAGTACAGAGTTTTTTTATAAATCTGGAAAGAGTATATGATTTTTTTGACGATTTTCCCTATTATAAACTAAAAGGGAAAAAAATACATTGTTCTTGCATTTTGTTTGGTTATATGTTTGATCATTGTATTACAGCAATGGAAACCACCTTAGCGTTACATAATCATAATCGATCGATCTTTCTCTTAAGCAAGATAAAGTATTGCATATCCTTCTGGCTCGCTTTGGAATAAATAGAGTGATCTCTTGTCGATTTCTTAGAAAACCGATCAAATAGCTCATCAATGATACCGCCCCCGAAATGTTCTTCTATGACTCCATGGATGGCGGCTCGATGCATGGAAGCGATGAAGCCGTCGCTCAATGGCATATCCTCCATCGGATGCTTCACTTCTTCCATAATCTCAACGCTAAAGCACCCATTTAGCTCTATCACTTCCTTCAATTCGCTGAATCGTGGAAAGTACAATGGCAAGTTGAATGATTCGAGCTTTTCCTCTTTTATTATTCCCTACATCGATGCAAAACATGAAAGAAGCATATTATTGAGAACTAATCACTGTTTGACTGCTCCTATTTCTCACTTGAACAATGGTTATTGAGAATTAATGGTATTGTGAATTATGTAAAATTTACGGTTCTACACAATTTATATATTGATATATTTCTTATATAATTTGACTTTTCTTCTTCTATAGAGAATTATATTGCTTATCCTTGGCTTAACAATTAGTAAAATTACAACATAAAAGATTAAAAAAAAACTAGCATTTTATTTTAGTCGTAACTAAACATTTATCTCTCAATAATAATAATAATAATAATAATAATAATAATAATAATAATAATAATAATAATAATATATTGGGTCGGATAGGCCAATCTAATATCATAATTGAGTTAAAAGAACGGTGCCAAACTTTCTTACCGATTCGGCCATATCGATCAGACAATCTCCGATCATATCATAGAAAACACCTTTCCATGTACGGATCATCTGTACGCCATCGGGCAAACATAGTCCCAAGATAATCATCAGTCCTCCCGGGAGAAGCTCTTGAGCTCTAGCTTCAATGAAAGCTCCCATATCCTTCTTGAATTGTTTCTTGTATGCCTTTTCCACTTCGTCAACTAAATTAGTACAGAGGATGTTGTTTTTGTTCCAAGCTTGTGTGTTTCGGTTACAAATATCTTTTGGAGTTGTTGAGAGCCAAACGAGTGCGTTAGAAGCGTGCCCGATGTGAAGGCTTTTTTTCGGGAATAATCGTCGGTAGAAGGAACCAGGAACACCGCATGCAAAGATTTGATGGTCAAGGTAATACGGAGGTAGGGTTTTGAAGAGAGTATTGAAGTCGTTGTTGGATTGATCGTTGAAGAAAATTTGGAACTCGAGGTGTGTCTGATTCTTTCCTTTGGATTTTTCTCGTTGGTGTTTGAGTTTTACGGTTTCTACAATGTTTTGAACGGCATCAAATGTATTGGATCCAACAGAACAACCGAAATCCGCGATTTTGTAGAGATTTAGATCAAATTTCGGTGTTTGAAGATTGAGTTTTGCTAAAATAGCTTCTTTTGTCTTTGCTCTTACACTCTCAATTGCAGCTTTCTGAATAACAAGAGGCAGTATATATGAATTCATAACTCAAATATCTCATCACTCACAAAACACAAAGCATAACTATACATGATATAGTGTTTCGTAAAAATCTTACTTGGTAAGTAGAATTACGAAGATAACTGTGTGGACCGTCACCGCCGATCATGGATATGATTGAATTAATGTTGGCTTCACGTTCGCCATTTCTGTCTGACCTGACCCCAAAATTTCTCGTGACAGAATCTTTTGTGCAAGTTTTTCAATGTCAATCTATAGCTGAAACATTTAAATAACAAGAAGCCGGTTTTTTTATGGAAAAAAAAATGAAATAATTTGGGATGCCATTTAATGGACAAAAATAATAATTGATAAGGCGACAAGATTTGACCAAGTTTTCATTCATTTTCTTCGTTGCTGATGCACATGTTGTCGACAAATAGTGATGGGCATTTAATGGTGGCCATATATGACGTATATAAAAGAATTTCAGGGATTTAAATTTGATCGGTGCATAGAAAAATGGTGGATATTAAACATCCGAATACATCCCATAAAAAAAAAATTAATTTTGTAAAAACTTTTTACTGAGTACATGAATTTTGTATTTGCGAGGGAGTCCGGTTCATCAATAATACTGATGCTCCAAAACATAATTTAAATATGTCAATTGGAGGTGAACCCAACTCTTTTGGGCCAATCCATTAGGACCCAAAAAATTAACGGGTCGGATTAGATAGACCCAATAATAATATTAATAGATTGGGTTAAGTCCGTTAAACCAGTTTAAACTCACACAATCAATTTACTATTCATATACATATTACAAATATGTATACGCATATAAACAAAGAATGGATATTCTAGTATTTGATTCTATAAAAAAATATATACCAATCGTTTATTATATTATATTCAATTCGGTTTTAATATTTATTAAAAAATATATTTTCTTAATAAATTTTTGACTTTTTTCGAGTTTTTTTAATTCGATTTGATTCGTTTGTTTAGAAATGTTACCTTTTGAGTTTTTTAACGACTCGATTCGGAAATTATATCGAACTTTTTGGTACGATTTGATTCGAAAACAAGACCAAGATTTTTCGTTCAATTTTGAAACGGTACCGAGTTTTTTAATTCGGTTCAGAAACTGTATTAAGTTTTTCATTACGGTTCAATTCAAAAACAGTACCAAATTTTTCGGTTCGAAAATTTTACCAAATTTTTCGGTTCGTTTCGAAAAAAGTACTGAGTTTTTCTGTTCGATCCGAAAACAGTTCTAGATTTTTCAGTTTCGATTTGACTCGGAAACGGTACTAGATTTTTTTGTTTTGGTTTCGATTCGAAAACGGTACCGAATTTTTCGATTCGTTTCAATTCAAAAATGGAACCGAGTTTTGTTTGAGTTCATAAATGATATCTTAGATTTTTGGTTCGTGTATGTATATATTAATATTTATATATACCCAAATAGGTTAACCCATTTGAGTTTATCATTGAGTCGGGTCAACTGATATAACCCGGTCCATTTTGACATATCTAACATAATTCGAAGGAAAGATTTTTTTTAGAACATGTTGATCATCCTTTTTATTACATTAACAAGGTGACGAATATATAGCCGTAATAATACTTGTCTCAAGCAAGACATGTAAATATAATGCCAAATTTGGCTAGTTAATATGGAGAAATGAGTGTGTTTCTCGTGTGTCTCGTTTTGAGTTCGAATCATAAATTTAAGGTATCCACGTATATTTCTCCGGTCTTTGAGATTAGCCTAGGTTTCATACTATATTAATTTGCGTAAAAACACTGACTCCGATCGTATTTGCGATTGACGATCTCAATTTGTGGTTTGCGAAAGATAATCCTCTTAACAATCATTTTATATAATTGATTAACGAGTGATTGGTTGCGCCGCTTCATTGTGTTTTCTGGCGGTTGAAAGTGATTGAAAAACTGATTGGTAAAATCGCAACCGCAACAAAACGAGGCATTTCTAATCACAACATTATATTCGTGTTTGGTGGCATTTTCGTGGTGTTTGATAAAAAGACCAAAATGCCTTTTAAAAAATATATTTTTTAATAATAAAATTACTATTTTACTAAAAATAAAATAAATTGATAAAATTTATAATTTTAAATTTTTATTTACTTGTTTTATAAATTTGGTAAATAGTTTTTTAAAAATTATAATAAAATTTTATTACAACAATTTTTAAAAATATATTAAAACATGTCATTTTTGGTAATTTGTATTAAACCGCAACGGTATTCGCTCAAATTATAGCCATCCACAATCGATGCCAAAAGTAAAATGTCAATCAATCAATACTAACAGTCTACCATCGCCAAAAAACGCATCGGAAACATACTAACAGTCTACTCTCGCAACGATATTAAAAAGAAATTTAACCTTGGACGTGTTTTATTATCCATGACATGTGATCTATTCTAATATAAACATATAAAATGTTTTTTTTTTATTTTCTGTTGGTGATTGATAACGCAAATGTAGGTATATAAATAAGTTCAAGTAATAAAAACCTAGATACAGCGAATATCGCAAGGATACAGATCAACTGTAGTACTAGGGTCGAACACAGGGAATAGTTAACACTAAGAACAAGACTCGACTAAGAATCAGATTAGCAAATAGCAGATGGAATAGATGAATACCGAAAGTAAAGCAATAAACAAACTAAGTAAATCAGATAACCAAACCACCGCAGCTTCGGGATAATCTTAACGCGCAGGGATTATTTCTAAGGATGGAGAATCTACGAATATCGAACTCTAAACGGGGATCTCAAGTTCTAAAATCAGATTTGGCTCTCCCAAATCCTAAATCCACTATCCAATAATTTAACCTATCGATCTCTCAACCTAATAGATTAAAATATCAAATGCATTAACGATCACTATCACAGTTCCTAAATCGATTAACCTATCTCTCAATAGTCTTAATCAATTCATTCAATGAATTCGTTCTGAATCTAATCTCAACTCTCGTTGTAAATCAGAATCTAAAATCAATCAATCAACTGGCCAAGAAGATCAAAAGCAATAAACTCAATTCAATTAAACCGAAGAGTATCGATAACGTAGTCTCGGAAAATAAAAACCAAACAAATCCCTACAGGGTTAAATCCCTATCTACAGTGAAACGACTACTCACTACCCATAACAACAAACGAGTTCAAATCAATAAAGAGAAACATAAAAACAGATAGAGAAGAAACTCGCAGCGATCTCTCGACGACGGTTCTTCAATCTCTGCTTCCGGAAAACTCCGTCTTGATTCTTTCTCGAGTTCTCTGGCTTCTCCTGTGATCTCTCGATGACTTCTGAATCCCAAGACGTCCTCTATTTATTTCTTTGGCGGCTAGGCTTCTTTCCATTCTGAAAACGGAAGTTCGGATGCAAAAATAGGAAGTTTTCTCAAAACATAACACGGCCGAGTTGGGGTAGAACACGATCCATGTCAATTGTCTGATCAAAACTTATGCGCTTCTGCATGGGCTGGACACGGGGAGTTGCGTCTCGCCCACGCCCGGGTTGACTCGACACGGTCCGTGTCAATTGTCTGTAAGAATGTCTTCGTTTCCTCTCTTTTGCACGGTCGTGTTTAAACTCGACTCGGCCGTGTTCAGGTGCAACTCGAGCT